CTTAGCTTAGAGTGAAGCTCTCTGGTCTGATCTAAATGTATTCACTGTTCGTGTTGTGGGAAACCTACAAATTACAGGTATGTATAATTAAATTATCATTGTTAAAGTGTTTACTCCTCTCAGAACACAGTCAATTTTTTGTAAAATAATCTCTTATTTAACCTTGCATATTCACTTGTCTAAACAGGCAAGTAAAGCCATCACCCATTTGCCTGACAGAAACTTACATTTGTCCCAGAAAAGGGGAAAAACTTAAACGCTCCTGACTTGTGAAACAGTGCACGATTTTCAAGGCTTCATTTAATTCACATAAATGTCAAACCACCTGTCTAACAAATGATAAATGTTAAACAAACCAGAAAAGGAGCGCTGGTTAACATTAGCTACAAGCATAACATAACAGTTCTGCTCACCACAGAACAGGTAAAATTCTGGGTAACTAAAGCACCAGAAGGAGTGAAGTAGAGCAGCTGGTGCTGAAAGGACAAAAGGGAAAAATTAAACCTGTTCTGTGGTGTTCTGATTTGTAGCTTGATCAGCTAACTTAACAATAGCTTAGTGAGCAGGCTACAGACACAAACAGTGCCACACAACATAATACAGGTTTGAATCAGACTAACTGTTGCTCTCCTGAAACAAGTTTAGATGATTAAACACTGTGAGAGCAATATAAAATGGTCAATTTCACCCCTATGTAGTTCACTATTGAAGACCCACAATGCATAGCAAATGTTAGTGTACTGATGATGTACACTACAAAATCCAACATATACCATAATGCAATGATGGCTTAATAAAGTAGTAGAAGAAGTGGTTAGAGTTTGGAGTGGTATGCATCCTTAGAACGACAACACGCACACAGACAACAGAGTGCGCTGCATGCCTATTTTCTATTATTAAACGGAAGCCAATGTCATTTTTTACTTTAAAAAAAAATATCATAAATCAGCAAAACATACCATTAAGAAGCTTCATAGACAGATTTAAACTTCTGGAAGCATAATTTATGACAGCTTGTCAGCTAGTTATTGTGTTTTGCTTGCTCACCCTAAAGCTGTACCTCAGTATCTTGATGTTAGAGTTCTTCTAGCTGGCCGTCCTCCAATGGCCAAATCAATGCATTCATGAAGCATAACACCTAATCATTATCCTCTATCTCTGGCATTTACGAAATTTCGGCAGAAAAATAGCCATATCTGGGTGTTTTTTTTTCAAATTTTGAGCTTTTTCCATTCAGGTTTTTTTTTGTCTTTTCAAAACTCGCTACTGTCTGTGGTGATTTATCCTCATTACTTTTAGCTGCTTAACATAAACGCCGTTCGTTTTCACTGCTCTCATTTTCTACTGTCACAAATATCTCTGATGGAATATCTTAGCAATAAAGGTAACTATAAACACGATTCACATGTTAATATAATTGGGAGAAATCATGAGTACAAACAGCTTTCAAGCAAAAACCATCTATGGGGCTGCATGCTTCTACATTCAGATGGTCAAACTTCCCAAAGGAAAAATGTCTTTTGAGATTACATTTTCTTAGTCTTAGAAGAAACAGACCATCTCAGATCTCCAATTGATCAATTATTTCTCATAAACACTCCTCAGGAGAAAAGAGGAGCTTAATATAAGCATTTCATTCTAAGATGTTCTGGAGAAAAATGAGAACATGCCAGATCTCCATCTACACTGATATATGCTGAAAGATTTCTGAGAAGAGCTCGTAACAAAACTCTGAAAATACTTTGACAACTCTTGTACAGGACACAATGTTATTATCATTTCTTTCAGCAAATGCTATATAGTGAATAGAAAGTGGTGCAATTCTCTCTCTCTACATTATATATATATAGGCAACTGCGTTTACATGCATACCAATAATATGATCATTATCAGATTTCGGCAGTTATCTAATTATTCAAGCGATCACGTAATTCACATGCTGTAAATTCCTGAATCAGATCAAGGATGTTATCAGATTTCAAGTAATCCAATATAGAGCTCAGTACCTAGATTTTAGCTCAGTAATTGGGTTTTCAGGGCATGCATACTCCGATTTATTTTGTTTCTCCTACTCTGAACTTATACGCAGAGGGTAGGGCTGTCCCGGAAAATCTTGCTTGCTGTTAACACAGCACCTGCAAGATAGCAACAAAACATTTTTGGACCAATTCTGAACCAACTACATGCTTGACAAAATGAAGAATTTGAATATTCTTCATCTTTATTATGTACTGCATTCTACTATATTCTATACACAGATTTGCTGCTGAACTGATTCAAAGTTTTCCTTAAAAAGCCATGGCAAGTTTGAATTTTACATCACATTCTTCTTCTATGAGCTTACTGGTGGCTGTAAAGCATAAATTTGAATATCGGCTGACACATGTAGAGTTTACCTATTATATGACTACTCAAGTGCATGTGAACAAATTAAACTAGTGTTTCCCAATGCAGTCTTCAGCACCCTCCAGACGGTTGACATTGTTGCTCTAGTTCAACTCACAACGCATAGAGATGAAGAAAAAATGTGGACCATCCAGGGGCCATGAGTAGCGGGTTCAGAAACACTACAATAAACAAATTACTGGCAAAATTTGAATTTCTGCAGTTATCAGACAATTAAGTGCCTGTAAAAACACTCATTGTTTTATGATAGTTGTGCGATAAGCATTTGAATAAATGTATTTTTTAAAACATATTTTTAAAAATATATTCATGGTGGAGAGACCCCTAGTTCATCATCTCTGTAAAGAAATGTGAGTCAGCAAATTTCAATATAATGAACAATTTCACATCAAACCACTCAGAATGACTGTGTTTACATCTGAACTATTTAACTATATAGAAGTTTTGAAAAATCAGTGGAATTCCCCTTTAAAGGCTTTAGTCCTAAACTGAACAAGCAAATACTGTAGTTTCGTATTTTGTAATTGTGTATTCTGTAAGCTGTCAGCACAACAGGACAAGTGAAAGTTAAATGAGAGGAAAAAAAGAGTGGAGGAAAAAAAAAAAAGAGTGGAGGAAAAAAAGCACTATCACTACCCAACATTTTTATGGGGTTTATCGTATAGACAAAAGTCCAATTCCCAACTAACTTGATGTTTCAAGGTGTTTATCAAAGCAAGACAAACTGAGAAAACAGGATTTACCTAGACTAGAGCAGAATTCATCTCCTAGTCAAATTTAAAACGAGTCTAACCAGTTCAAAGAAGCTTTCTAGGAGGGGAAAAAAGTTATATTTTTTTAACTGTAGCTTCAGTGTACTTTTAGTGTATTAGATTATATGTAATCTAAGTTTAATGTCATATTATCAGTGTCTTTCACTTGCAAATGGCCTTTAATGTAAAAATTACATAGTAAAATTTTACACTTAAGCCACTGCCTCAATCAAAATGACACCCCTGCACTGCCTTTTGTCTCTATTCATAAGCATGCATTGAAAATGTGACTAAAGAGATAGATCTGAGTCTTTCATTCACAGAGAGAGAGAGAGAGAGAGAGAGAGAGAGAGAGAGAGAGAGAGAGAGAGAGAGAGAAGTAACTACTTCAATCTACTTCACTGTCATTTAGTCATAAACAGGACAGTTTAGATGGAAGACATTCATCATGGAAAACCAGTTGATGCTCAAAGTCAAGAAGTTTGAAGCTTAACGTTCACATAAGAGAGAGTGACAGAGAGACAGAGCGACAGAGAGAGAGAGAGGTTCAGAATCTTATGCCCAGTAAGCTTAACATGCACAACTTTCCTACATAAATACACCTATAGATATTACAGGGGAATTCCACCAATTTTTCTACATTTCTTCATAGTTAAATCATTAAGATGTAAACGAAGTCATACAGAGTGTTTGATGTGAAATGCTTTGTTCTAAAGAAATTTACTGGACTGTTCATAGTGATAGTGAATGGAAACAGACAACCAAGCATTTAATACCTCTAGAAACTCCCTCATAGAAAGTTATTACAAGAAATGGCTATAAATACGATGGCAGATGTCTGAGACATTGTTTTATGATAGTTTTGCGACAAAACAGTACTAAAACACATTTTTTCTCAGTTTTACTACTATTTTATCATTCATCTATCAATCATTTATCATATCAACATTACATGTAAAAACACTGTAGACTCGTGTACATTCACTGGAGGCTTGGGAAAGTAAACAAAATAGCTATACATGCATTGTAGACCTTGAGACCCTTTGTTTCTATCACTACCACTGTAAAGAAATGAGTCAGTAAGTTTCTCTATAATGAACCATTTAACATCAAACCACTCCAAACTGTTGTGTTTACATCTCAACGACTGAATGACACAAAAGTTTAGAAAAATCAGTGGAATTCCTCTTTAAAGGCTTTAAAGGCTTTAGTCTCACACTGAACAACCAATAGTGTAGTTTTGTATTTTGTAGTGAAATGAGATGAAAGAAATTAGAGAGGTACTACCACTACCCCACACGTACGTGGGGTTTACTGTATAGACAAAAGTCTAACTCCCAACTAACCAGATGTTTCAAGAGGTTTATCAAGGCAGGGCAAACTGATTTTTTTTTATTACGTAGACTACAGCTGAACTCATCTCCTAGTAAAAACTAGTCTAACCAGCTTATTACTATTCATAGCTTTCTAGGGAAAAAGTTACAGTGTTTTTGTTTTTTTCTTTTAACTGCAGCTTTAGTGCACTTTTATCGTATCAGATTATACACAATCAAAGTTCAATGTCACATTATCTGTGTCTTTGGCTTGCTTGCAAAAGTCCTCTCTAATAAACACGACAGTTCAGATGGAAAACATTCATCTCCGCAAAGTTCTTCTGAAGCTGTCGGACAATCGCCTGATGCTCAAAGTCAAGAAGTTTAAAGCTTAATAAACTTTCGAGAGAGAGAGAGAGAGAGAGAGAGAGAGGATGGTTCACAGTCTTGAAGGAATGTGATGGTTTAATTTATGAGCCCTTGTGTGTAGCTAAGCACAATGGTAATAGTGTAAGAGCGGTCTACTCACAGGCGATGTATGCGATGAGGGCGAGGGCGACGAGGAGTTTCATTATTCTTCTGTTTATTACTGTTATCAGCCAGGTCATCCGCATCATCATCCAGCAAATGCAGCATTGACGCGGGAAGCCGCAGCGAGCTCCCTCACAACTATTGCATTATTAAAGTCCGAGTGACAAGCGCTCCAGTTAGGAAGTCACGTTAATTCATAAAATTACGGCATTTATCTTCTTAACCTTTATTAAAACGGACGGTGCAACTCGGCGGCTCCACTACAGGGTGTCAACAAGGTGTCCGAGTGGAGAACAGAACTGAAGTGGCTTTCAGTGTAACTAAAACGCGAAACTCCGCACGGCTGACTTTTCAATCTGGAGTTCAAGGTGGTGTCAGACAGGTTAAGAGCGCTGCTGCTGCTAGTGAAGCCAGCTAGTTAGCTAGCTATCCGCTAACTCTCTCGCTAATTAGCAGTTAAAAAACCGTTACCTTGGTAAAAGAACAGTTCATGTACTCCGAGTCATTTGCGGTTTATAGACGCACTCAGTTCAGCAGCCCTATAAATAGAGTCCCATTCTTCTCGGCGCCAACAAGTTCCCGATAGCCTGCTAGCTAGCCCGACTGCTAGCCAGCTAGATCAGTCAGCATTGGCTTCACTGAATGCATATTGCCCGCTAGCGGAGTAACAGCTCTGTTTCTTCTGATAAACTGTTCGCTCGGCCAACACAGGCACCGTGTCTCGGCAAACCACTTTCTGAACAACCCCGGCACCTATTAACAACTTAAATACGAGTGAAACGATGTGCTGTTTCTCCGAGTGGGCCGTACGCAACACAGCGATGACTCTGCTATCAACTACTTATCCTGCCGCGGTAGCAGAAATGCAGGTTGACGTGTTTGCTTATCAAATTTGCGTAGAACATGAACCCCTTAGAGCAGATACGGGAACAAACACAGAAGGTTGCGGTTTTTTATCTTTCTCCACGCAGAAAAACGAAAACTAAGAAGCTGTTTTAGTATGTAAGCGCAATACTATATTGCCAGGGCGAAGCAATCGAGTGCACATATGTTCACCATGAGAACAGAGCTCCTTTCATAGAGACCAGACAGCGCGGCAATATTCCATAGAGCCTTATAATTCAGACAGTGTTTTTCCACTTCACACTGTTGCTCCTCCCCTTGTTTGTTTTAGTATCTATATATCAGCCAGTGCTCCTTTCTTTATACTCAGTTCAGCTGGGGAAAGGTCACATGAAAGACCTGATTGATGTAGATCTTTTGCGGGACAAATCACATACGACAGTGAATGGTAACTTACTGTTACCCTGTATCTCCTTTTATTCAAAATATTCTGTGGCAGTCAGATACAAATTCTGAATATGAATAACCATAACCATTACCATTCTGAATATGGAAAAGCTGTAAGTGTCTATGACACTGTGCCGTTAGGAAAAGAATAATTGCTTATTCCACTACAGAGCCATAGACTGCTGTAAAAAGTATTTGGCCCTCTTGAGTTCTTCTATTTTTTTGCATATTTGTCACACTTAATTGTTTCAGATCCATAATAATAATAATAATAATAATAATAGAATCTATTGAAATATTTGAATATTTGAAGTCCCTGTTGAATGTAAACATTGCTTAAACAGAACCTTTCCATCATGTGAAGTAGGCTTAACAAGCAGCACGCTATGCTGTGATCAAAAGAAACTGTAGAAGGGATGAGAAAGAAAGTTGAAATCTGTCAGTCTGGAAAAAGTCACAACCATTTCTAAGACTCTGGGCCTCCAGCGAATTACAGTAAGAGCCATTATCTCCAAAATAAAACTTGGAACAGTGGTGAATCTTTGCAGAAATGGGCTGCCTACTGAAATTTCTCCAAAAGCACAGTGGCAAGTCATGTAGGAACTCACAAAAAAACCCAGATGAACATCATATAATCATATATACTTAAGTCTACACCCATGACCGATTCTGGACTTGTTTCGGGGAGGGTCTCATTATTGCTGTTTGCTGTCACACACAAGAATTCCATTCAAACCAAGGAGCGACTGGACAATTCCATAAGCCACTTTCCTGGGTGCAAGTTTGCAAAATATTAGGCACTAGCTTAATCCGTTTGCTGCTTTTCATTATTTTCCTTGGATATAAACATTCAAGCCGCAAAGAGCAGAGCTTTTTGTCCAATACAGTCCTTTCCCTGCTATAATGAAACTTGAAAAGGAAAGTAACGTGATAACTCAAAACAGTCACATTACAAAATGAACCAATCACACAACCCCACACATGATGCCGGGAGCGAATAGCTTCCACACTCGTTGCAGACTGTACCAGAGTTCGCTAGAAGTGAAACCCAGACCACCGATTCGAAAACAGCTTTCACACTTGACCAATCGTACCAAACTGACGGAGCAAGTGGTCCTGGGTCCAGAGAAAAGCTTTAGTGTGAAAACGCGCTAGGAAACTGTAGGCCTTGATTGCCTCAGGTGTGGTCATCATTCATGATTCTACCATTAGAAATAGACTGGGCAAAATGGTATATATGGGAGTATACGTTGCAAGGCGAAAACCATTGATAACCAAAAGAAGCATAAAAGTTAGTCTCATATTTGCCAGAAAACACCTTGATAACCCCCAGGCCTTTCATATAATATTAGGCCTCATTTACCAACCATTCTTAACACCCACTTAACACAGTTTTCACGAAGGTTCTGACAATCAGCAGTGTTTTCTTGTTTGGGATTTGTTCTTAGGTAAGAACAGAATCTATGTAAATCTACATACACTCAAGAGCACAAAGGTGCAAACAATTCTGTGGTTTAAGAAAACATCATGAATCTGATTTATACTTTTCTCAACAAAAACACTTAGTAAGATTTTGGTAAATGAGGCCCATTGTTCTGTGGACTGTTGAGCCAAAAGTGGAGATTTTTGGAAGAAAATGTTTCTGTTACATCTGGTATGAGGAAAACATAGCATTCCACAATAAGAGTATCATATCAGCAGTGAAACATGGTGGTGGTAGTGTGATGGTGTGGGGATGTTTTGCTGCTTCAAGACCTTGGGTTGACTTGCCATAATCGAGAGAAACATTAATTCCGCTCTCTGCCAAAAAATCATGCAGTATAATGTCCAGTCATTAGTCCAGCAACTGAAGCCAGTTGGGTAATGCAGCAAGACAACAATCCAAAGCAGAAGTCCACTTCTGAATGTCGCAGAACAAACAAAATTAAGATTTTACAGTGGTCTAGTTAAAGTCCTGACCTGAACCCCTTTGAGATGCTGTGTCAGGATCATAAATGAGCAGTTCATATCTGAAAGCCCAAAGAAGAGTGGCCCAAAATCAAACCACAGCGACATAAAGGCTAATCTCCAGTTATAGAAAGCATTTGATTGCCGTTGTTGCTGCCAAGGGTGGCACAACAAGTTATTAGGTTTAGAGGGCAGTTACTAGTTTCCTTTAATAAATGAAATGATCATTTAAAAACTGTGGTTTATGTTTCCTTATGCTTTCTTTGTCATATGTTACATTTGGTATGAGGTAGGATTCGATCAATTATTGGTCCGACCAATAATCAGAACTGATATTCAGCATTTTTCCCATTATCAGCATTTGAACTTGCTTTCCTGACGATAAAAACGCATTTTGTTATTTATGCGCCTCTCTGATGCAACCGTGTTCAACAAAACACACTTCTGTAGTCTGGCCCAATGCCACGCCAACAGCATTACTGGATTGCTTGAAATGCTTATGACTCATTGAGAACAACCAACCAGCACTTCTGTAATCTGTCCCTATGTCCCGCCCTGTGTCAAGTAAATCCAATCAAACATGCTTTCTGGTTTTCTTAGAGACGTGGGATGGAATGAAAAAGCACCTGCTTCACTCCCACAGTGCGAAGAAAAGGTAAAAACAGGTTATGGCTGAACAACGTAGTTGAAGCTCAATGAACTCAGTCATATAACTTCACTCAGTCTAGCCAGACAAACAGGACTTGTGCATGCAGCTTGAGCCCTGCCCGAAACATCATATTACGCTTTGGTGAGAGTGAGGTTTCTGTGTGTGGAAGCAGACATGCTGTGCAGACCATACTGCTTCTGTAGGAGTTCAAATGTGTTTAGAGTGTGTGCACCTACAGCAGAGCTTCAATGTGTAAGCTACGCAGACAGGCCTCTAGACTAAGCTCTGCTTAGACTAATCAAGCCATTTCCATTGAATTTCAGTGCAGAATACATCTGACACACTCAACACATCCAACTACTACTTGTTATCACATAAAATACATTTTTGGTTGAACAACAAAATTAAATAAACACATTGACATTCATATTCGCTCATTGTTACTTTTTACACAGTAGTGACCATTTTTACTGCATAATTGCTTGGATGCTAACTAATATTTTTATTTAACAGTTCTATGTATGTGGTTGGTGTAGGGTTTATACAGTTTTAGTCAGTATTAAAGTTTTTTGTCTCTTGTATTCATATACTGAAAAGGCAAGGCAGATTTGTTTTTTATACAAATTGTGTAAATATAGTAATATTTATTAATAATAATAATACTCATGTACATGATAATAATATAATAATATAAAATATACATATTGTTATTATTTTTTAATATACATGTAATAATATGTAATATAAATGTATACACTTTTTAATTTAAAGTTTTGAGCCCCTTTTTTGAGCTCCATTTTTATTAAATGTCCCAGAGCTATTTAACTTCACTTTTAAAGATAACTAAAGTCACTATTTTTGCAGGCTTTACTGTCTAAAGCTCAAAGCACTTTAATTTTTTAATGCTTTAATGTTTATTTAATGTAAATTGTGAGTAAGAATTACATTCTTGTAAATTTTCACACTACAAACATCACATTTATGGTAAAGGAATATCGGCTCCAAATATCGATTATTGGTATACTTAATTACTAATAATCAGCATCGGTATCGGCCCTGAAAAAACATATCGGTCAACTGATACCAGTCTGCAACAAAAATGCTAAGTGAGATCAGAAGGGGGAAAATACTTTTTCACAGCACTGTACCCTTCACTTCAAGTTTTATTCCTCTCGGTCAGTTGCTTGTGTTGCAAGGAAGCATGCATGACTTAATACAGAACCAGTATCAGACGAGTTTTAATATACCTAGTCAGAGTAGGCCCCAGGAACATTCAGTTTCGTGCCTCATTAGGTGTGAACATGTTTGTGTAGAATTAAGAGAATGATGATGATGATGATGATGATGAGAATTAAGAGAATACAACTTAATTCGTTAACACATGGGTAATGAACATGTGGAAAACTGGTATAAATAATTT